AGATAGATGGATAGATAGATGGATAGATAGATGGAGAGAGAGGTGTTGTGTCTATATATGCACAGTACATGTTTCTCGGTGTTCTTTGTTCAGAGGATCTTTGAGGATCAGGATCTTCTTTCACTGAGTTTCTCTGCAGCTGATGTTCAGCATCAGACCTCAGTAAGAAAACTCTGCATCTGTCAGCTCCTCCAGTTGTGCTGCAGTGTTCGCTCCCTGGACGCCAGCGAGGGGAACAAGTCATCAATCTGCTGGTGACGGTGATATTCAGAGAGGAGCCTTCCTCCGAATCTGCTCTGTTACAGTTTATGGTCCGTCGCTCACGTTCATCCTGAGTGTTCATAACATCCACGACTCCGACACAGGAAAAACACAAACCACACAAACCACACAAAACACAAGAACCTTTATTTGCAGACGCAGAAGGAGCAGCATGAGATCTGCTGATTTATTGATGCATTACAGAAACTGGGTTGTCGCCATTAACTCCTCATTGAATGAGTTTGACATGAAACCTGCATCATGTCTTTAAAAAGACAAACTCATCCCGTTTGATTTCTGGATGAATCCTCTCAGTTCCTCTCTGACGGTGCAGGAGGTCGTGATGAGAAGAACAAGTTGTTGTTGGTTCAAGTTTCTCCTCAAAAAGTTCGGCCATTGTTCAAACTGACGTCCTCCTGTTGGCTACGCTGCCCCCGGTGATTTCCGGTGGTACTGCTCTGCTGCGTCTGTAAAGAATCGTTTATGCCCGACATGTTTCCACAAACGTAAACAGACTTCAAACAGAAAAACCACGTGATGTCATCTCTTTCATGATTTCCAGAGCGAGCCGTCACCGTTTCTTCAACACGCAGCTTCATCAAATGGCCACTAGTCCCAGCAGCGTCCAGCCGTCCAACAGCATGGAGGAGACACAGCAGCCCGAGCAGCCAATTAGCACACAGCCGGATTGCGGCGAGGCAGGCCACGCCCCTGTGACCTCTCAACCAGCTGAGCAGGGAGCCGCCTCCTCAACGACAGACGAGATAACAGAGGAGGGAGGAGCCATGGAGCACCTGACAGTGATCAGCGACAACATGGAGACCAGTAATCAAACGTCTTTTCTTCTTCTCTTCCTGAAATCACGACAGACGGGAAACTTCTGTCGATAAATAAAAACGTTCCCGACGTCAGATTCTCTGATCAGAGGGAACGTGACTCTGAGTCAGAGCCTGTAAATGAAAGTTAAAGGTTTCAAGTCACAGCTGCTCTGAGAACTTTGGGTTCAAATGAACTAATTGGCCCCTCCTCCTTCTTCTCCTCCAGGTAACGGAATCGCTCCAGCGATGGTCGACTCTCCCACAGTGTCCTCTGTGTCGCCCATGCTGCACGCCAAGCCGGGCGGCCACGCCAACGGTCGCCCTCGCTTGGGCAGCCGGTCCGGCTCATTAGCGGCGGGCTCGCCCAGGCCCTCGCTCACCCGCCGGCCCAGCGCCCTCACAGAGGGCGCTGTGGACGGGTCCAAGCCGCGGGACTACCTGATCCTCGCCATCCTGTCCTGCTTCTGCCCCCTGTGGCCAATCAACATCGTAGCACTCACCTTCTCTGTGATGGTACCAACGAGGGGGGATCACACACACACACACACACACACACACACACACGATACAAACACACACACACAAACACACACACACACACACACACACACACACACAAACACACACACACACACACACACACACACGATACAAACACACAACAACACAGATGAAATGATGAGACTAAATGTTCACATACAGTAACACACGTGATGTTTGAATGTGCGTTACCTAACATGGAGGAGGCGGGGTTTATAACGTGTGCTGCTGCTAACAAGCTAACTGACTTGCTAAAGTTGGAGAGCTATCATTACCAACTCGAGCAGGTTCTAGCGCCCCCTGTAAACCTGAAACAAAGTCATATTGATGGAAGGTGATAGAACATGATTTGTAAAACACATTCACACGACAGGATTTCTAATAGACTGATTGTTATTCATCATAATTAGTAACTTGTCAGAGGATTTCATTTTGTCGTCTCAGTCCAGGAACAGTCTGCAGCAGGGAAACGTTGACGGGGCTCGTCGTCTGGGTCGTAACGCCATGATCCTGTCGGTGGTTTCCATCTTGGGTGGAATCGCCATCATCGCTGCAGCCATCGCCCTCAACTGGGGATGTAAGAAACTGCAGCCTCTTTTACTTCTTCACACAAAATGAATTAAGTTTGTTCAACCTAATAAATAATTCTGATTCTAATCTGACTGATTTCAGTTGAAACTTAAATTTAAACTCAAAGTTTCCAGTTTATTTATTTTACCACAACATTTAACCGCTGCTGCTGAACGACCTTGTTCAGTCGTTTTGTTTGAATTGTTTTAGTTTAATATTTTTAGACTTTATTCTATAAATGTCTCTCTCTCTCTCTCTCTCTCTCTCTCTCTCTCTCTCTCTGCAGTGATATTAAAGTCCTAACGAAATGAGCGTCAGCGGTGAGACTTTTTGACTTCTCGACTTCTCGACTTCTCGGCTTCTCGACTCCACGTTTCCTCTTGTTCCTGAAGCACCATCGTTTTTCATGCTCCTGCACCGGATGATAAACAAGTTATAAAATCTGTTCCTGTTCTTTGCTGTTGTTTCTTGCTGCACGATGAGCATGTTCCACCTGACGCTCTACCTCCGACACCACCAACTAACCGACCCGACACCGGCGACCCCTCCTGGACACATCGACCTCCTTGTTGCTTCCTCTCGCTACACTCTCTCCGATCTGTCGTCATGGTAAACTGACGTGTTACTGAATCTCTGTGCCACAGTTCGGACATCGGAGCTAACTGACGGACGTGTTTTCCACTTTTTGATGCCAAAAGAATCAGAAACTGAAGCGATGAACTGTTCGTGTCGTTAACGTGAACGAAGGAAAGAAAAAGACAAAGTGTCCAAGTGTTTCCTGTTGTCTGTTATGCACAAACACCAAGATAGACGAGTGCTGCCTCCTGGTGGTCGAATCACAGAGACTAAAGTCCTGACGTCAGCTGCTGTTCGACGGCTCGTCGTTCCATCAGTCGCTCTGAAAAAAGGACGTTTACTTTCATACATTGACACAAACAGCTTCCACCACATTCACGACTGGAAACACGAGGACTCATCTCTGAAACGCTTTGAACATATTTTACAGCGTTCACTTTCTAACGACAAGTTTCTCTGTTGATTAAACAGAAATTTAAAATAGACCGTTATCTTCTCTGATAGCCACGTGTGGCTAACATTAGCAGTGCTAGCACCAGTGGTACTCACAGCAGTTGTGTTTTAACGTGTGAGTCGCTAACACACGTGTTGTGCACAGATAAATCAGGACCTCTCCCCCCCCCCGCCCTGTGCATGTTTACAGTAGTATTTACACAAAGCTTTTACATCCGACGTAGCCTCATTTAGCACGAGCGCTAACTGAGTAGCACTTTGTAAATAAACAGTATTCATTGTCGTGAGCAGTCACTGACCCACAATCCACTCGCACACAAACTGTGGGATTTTAGAAAATGTTGCTGCTGTTGAGTGACCCAACATTTGAACTTTGCACCAATCGGACGTCGTCTCTGAGGTCGGGTGGGGTCGGGTGGGGTCGCCCTGCGTTCACGTCACATGACATGGCAACGACCTGTAGGTGTTAAAGTTGTTTGAGGATGAAAACAGTTTGTGCTGAACGATGGTGTCAGACGTCCGTTTGTCTGGCTTTCAGATGTTTTCATCAAGTTGTCACCAAAATAAAATCAGGGTTTTCAGATAAATGTCCCAGTTGTCATGACGATGCTGTCTACGCCTGATGCAGATGTTCTGACGGGGACAACGTGTCCTCCTGTATGTAGCATGCCTGTTTACTAATCACATTATGCAAAGAAAAAAAATCTGCTCCGTGTCGTACGAACGATGAAGCCTCTGATTCCTGCTCGGACTCCAACACGGTTTTAACGGACTTTGCTTGCGCTACCTCTCAGAGTCGCCTCACGTGTTTCACTTTGATGATTTGAACTGACTGTTAAAACTATTGTTTGTGTTTGAATCTGTTGTTTCTGTTGGAACTTTATCATTTATACAGACGTCCACCCTTAATTCTGCTGAAACAGTTTCTGTACATGGAAAAACTACTGGAGTGTATACGTATACACACACACACACACACACACTCATATACATATATACATATATATATATATGAGTGTGTACAAGTATATTATATAATTACTTTGTCTTAGACGAAGAAATGAAAAGTTCTGAGGAAGATTTATCAGTAAATGCAAAATTTAAATCACTGTTCATTTATCATAAAACTACAAACTATAACATTTTCAGTCAAATCAATCTAAAAATATGAGTCGACGACGTCCTCAGATATTTTCCTCTCCCTCTCTGGAGTCGGCTGCTGATTTCTAACAAAGTAACTGAGAAATAAATATGAAACGTGATGTTTCTTTCTATTTAAATTATGAACTTTCTTTATCAACATGGTTTTAATCTTCTTGTAGTAATCGATTCTCTGACACGATTTACCTCTGAATCAACAGTTTCACATTAAAATGAGGAGAAACAGCTGGAAGAGAGAATCTGAAACATGATGGAGGTGCAATAAAAATCAACTCACACAAAAACAACAACACAGAAATATAAAGTGTATAAAACTGAAGAGAACTTTTCATTTCTAACTCACGTCTCCTGTTCACACTTTAAATCACACTTTTCTTTGGTCTTGACTCTGTTGTTGTGGTTTTCTTCTCTTTTGTAAAAGCTCTTCTGAGACCTGATCTTTGTATTTTTATATTTCTATTCTCATCCTCTGGATCTTTTGTATTGACGTGGTGATCTACTGTTTGTAAAGCTCGGTATAACCTGCTTCCTGCTTGCTCTTTTTAAATGCCAAAGTGAGGGGACACTGTAAGCATGACTCGACCGTCACCTCCTGTTTATGATCGACACACTGGACTGTGCCTGTGCATGCCTTAACCTGACTGAGTATTCAGATTCAGATATTCACATTTATCAAAGATGATTGAAGGGAATAAATTCCAGTCAAATACAAACTCCTCCAAGTCTGTGGATTCATGAATCATCCTGAAACGTGACCAAAGTACGCCTCTGTTATAACTCTAATACAAGCTCACAATCATTTTACTTTGAAATGAGTAAACTGAAATAATAATATCTACAGTCTGATCAGTATTTAGGCCTCAGCTCTCGTTAAAGTCACGAACCTACAGGAAGTGGATGTTTATTAATGCAGCAAATTTTTATCTGAATTCAGTTTGAAGAAACTTATCACCTTAAACATGATGCTTTTATTTTGTTGAACATCTGTGCCTTTATTTTGCAGGTTTTTGTAATGTGACATGAAGGAGAAATGATGGGGGGAGCGAGTTCTGAGTCTCTTTCTAGGATGAGAGAGCAGGTTGTCATGGTAACCATTGGCAAGGGAGTGCAATGCAGCGGGTGGTGTTGGGATGGGGCCAAGACAGAGAGAGAGAGAGAGGGAGAGAGAGAGAGAGAGAGAGAGAGAGGTCTGATTCCTCTCCTTTAATAAAAGATCTCTCTCTCTCTCACTCTCTCTCTCTCTTTCTCTCTCCTTCATTTGAATTTCAGATTCTTATAAATTATTGAGAGAGTCGAGCTCCGAGGAAACAGGAGGAGAGAAGAAGAGACAGGCTCAGGTTAGGAGAGGAGGGGAAGGAGAGGAGGGGAGGAGGGGAGGAGGGGAGGAGATGAAACAGAAAGAAAAGAAGCAGGAAAAATAAAAACTGGAAAAATGGTTTGTGTTGTTTGTGTGAAGGTTTGAAAAGTTAAGGCTTGAAAAGGAGGAGGGAGAGAAAAAAACAGGAGGAAGAAAGAAGGACAGATAAGGAAAGAAGGGAAGGAAAGAAGGGAAGGAGAGGAAGCAAACGGTGCAAAATCAACCAGATGACAGAGAGAGGATGGAGGGGGGAGGAGGTGTGTCATAATGCAGCTGAGGAGGAGGAGGAGGAGGAGGGATGAATAGGAAGAAGAAGAGGAGCAAGAAAAGGAAGAAGAGGAGGAGGACGAGGAGGAGAAAGGAAGAAGAGGGGAATGAAGGAGGTAGAGGAGGAATGAAGGAGGTAGAGGAGGAATGAAGGAGGTAGAGGAGGAATGAAGGAGGTAGAGGAGGAATGAAGGAGGTAGAGGAGGAGGAGTCACCACTGTTGATTAATCCACAGCTGAAAATAGGATTTCTATATAAAAGCTTGTTTTATGAGATGAAGGTTTTAAAAGCAGGTTGTGACGAGGCTGCGACTTTCTGCTGCTGTTAGTTAGTTAGTCTGTTAGTTAGTTAGTCAGTTAGTTAGTCAGTTAGTTAGTTAGTCTGTTAGTTAGTTAGTTAGTTTGACTGTTAGTTAGTCTGTTAGTTAGTTAGTTAGACTGTTAGTTAGTCTGTTAGTTAGTTAGTTAGTTTGACTGTTAGTTAGTTAGTTAGTCTGTTAGTTAGACTGTTAGTTAGTCTGTCTGTTAGTTTGACTGTTAGTTAGTTTGTTTGTTAGTTAGTTAGTTTGTTTGACTGTCAGTTAGTTAGTTAGTTTTTCTGGTAGTTAGTTAGTTAGTTTGACTGTTTGTTAGTTAATTAGTTAGTTTGTCTGTTAGTTTGTCTGGTAGTTAGTTAGTCTGTTAGACTGTTAGTTAGTTAGTTTGTTTGACTGTTAGTTAGTGAGTTAGTTAGTCTGTTAGTTAGTTAGACTGTTAGTTAGTTAGTTAGTCTGTCTGTTAGTTTGACTGTTAGTTAGTTAATTAGTTAGTTTGTCTGTGAGCAGGATGAACACGTCAGATTTAAACTGTAAACAAATCTTTTTGAACTTGTTTTCTCAGAATCATTTCTGGATCTTGTTGAGGACTGATGATATTTTATCTTTTTATATTTGTGTGTGATCTGGTGCAGATTGATGAGTTCTTCATCAACAGATCAACTCTGGATTTTAAACAACGACACTTGAGTTTTTAATTTCATCTGTTGAACTGACTTGATTCCAGTTTTTGTGATCTGAACTGTGAAGCTGATTCTTGTGACAGTGACGGACCAGAAGCTAAAGACACCAAAGTATGAGAGGAGACAGTTGCAGAGAATTAAAGTCGACCTTGAGGGATTTCATTATCCTGCTCCGACTCAATTATCTGATCGATGGATTCAATTAAAGAGGAGTTGCCTCTTCAGCCTGATCCTCATCTGCTGCCGTCCAGTCCCCTGTGATGTCCCCTGTGAGTCTAATGAGACAACTGTCCCTCGTTCAAAGACGGTTCTGGACAAATGAATCGGCACAGAGCACCAAATAAATAAATAAAGAAGGCTTTTAGGTCAGGAAATGAAAATGCTCTCTCTTAAGGTTCTTGATCGTCATGTTATCACCACAGAAACAGAAACGTTTCACATGTAAACAGTTTTATTTGGATCGTACGCAGTTTTACAGATTCTTTGGTTTGAACGTTTCATTTTCTTCATTTTATCTGTGGACGTTTGTCAGTTTTTAAATAGAATCTGTCAGAGCAACAAACACACAAAGAGATCCAACGTGTCAGATCACAATGAGCTTCTTCTGAACAGTTTCTTCCTCCTCCTCCCCCTCACTGGCCCGGCAGCGCCCCCAGCAGGCCGTTGGCTGTGGTGAAGAGGTTGATGGGTGATGACCCGTCAGTGATGAGGGTGGATTTCAACCCCAGAGCCTGAAGCATCTTCACCTGCAGGAGAAACAGATGTTCACACCCGAGGCTCAGATTAACTTAAGGAGTGGATGAAACTGTGATCAGGCAGCAGCGCCACCTGCAGGACACAGCTGGTCTAAAACTAAACACTGACCTGTGAGTCAGTACATTTAAATAGAGTTATTTTAGTGTTGGCCTCAGCGGCAGCAACCGTGCAGTTCAACCATCACGTGACTTGTCGCTTTGTGTATTTTAACAAACAGTGTGTACTTGTATTTCAACGGTGTGTACTTGTATTTCAACAGTGTGTACTTGTACAGTACCTGCAGCTCAGGTCCGGCTCTCGCCATCTCCTTCAGCGTGTCGCTGCCCAGACTCTGCACCAGCTGACTGAACCTCTGACTCTCGATCTGAGCGAGTCGATCCTGCTTCTCCACCTCCAGATGATCCATCTGCTTCTTGTAGCTCAGCTCCTGCTCACGAGCCTTCGCCAGCCGCTGCAGCTCCGCCTCCTGCACACACACGTTCACATCTTGTCTGAGATCTGCACACGTCAAGTTTCTAGCAGTACACACACACACACACACACACACACACACACACACACACACACACACACACACACACACACACAGGTCAGAGGTCAGAACGTACCGCCTCGATGCTCTGAGCCTCGGCCTTCAGTTTGGCCTCGTTGACGGCCGCCTCCCCCTGGATACGAGCCGCCTCTGCCCGAGACTGGGCCTCCGCCTTCGCTGCTCCTGTACTCTCCACCGCCGCACTGACACACACACACACACACACACACACACACACACACACACACACACACACACACACACTCTGCAATACACACTGTCCTTATTGCACAAAGTCTACTCTCAATGGAGACACAAAANGAAAATGTTTTCTCCATTCTTGAAGATGAGATCAGTCACTACCAGGCCCAGGGAAGCCTACTGATCCATGGAGACCTTAATGCCAGAACAGGTGTAGAACCAGATTCTGTTAATCCACATGGAGACAGACATACACTTGGTCAAATCAGGATTCCTCTCCCTCCATATCCTTCACATCCTTCACATCCTTCACATCCTTCACATCCCCACAGAACCAACTTTGACAAAACTGTCCACAAAAGCAGCACCAACTCCTGCAGCTCTGTCGAACACTGGGTCTGTACATAGTCGACTTCGAGGGGACTCCTTTGGTCTCGACAGCTCTCCTCTTGGTAATAGCACAGTAGACTACAACATAACAGACCTAGAGCCCTTCTACCTGAGAGCACAGCCCCCTCTCACCTCATCTGACCACAGTAAAATGATGCTGTTCATTAGAAAGACAGTAACAGACCTTCACCAGCGGAGCCGAGTAAACTGAACTATACAAAACAACCACGACCAGAAAGCAGTCACACCTCAAACAATTCAATTTCAATGAGTCCATTTTATCTCCGCTTCATATTCCCACAGTAAAGATGACCTGAATCAAGCTGTACGGGAAATCAACATCTCTGACAATCTGAAACAGCATCAACATCACAAATCAAAAACATCAGCCAATGAAACGTGGTTTGACACAGACTGCAGACATCTGAGAAAAACACTCAGAAGTTTATCAAATCAAAAACACAGACAACCTGACAACCCCGAGCTCCGCATCCAATATTGGGAAACATTGAAAATATACAGAACAACACTCAAAGGGTGCAGCATGCGCAGCTCCAACTGAATGAAACTGAAGAGTCCATTGACTCAAATGATTTCTGGAAAAAATGGCAAACAATCATCAAACCACACAAAGAAGAATTGGTTCTTCAAAATGGTGAAATTTGGAAACAACACTTTGAAAACCTGTATCGTACTATTACACAGAATTCAGCCTAAAATGAGCTCCTCAACAAATCACAAACTCTAGAAAATCAGTCCTTAAAGAAAACCAGAACACTTTTGTTACGCCTGGCTCTGAGGCCGCAACAACACAGACAAGGCAGCGTGATGTAGCGAATTACAATATGCTTTATTGATTTAACATAAACGGAAATGAGCGATGGAGTGTGAAAGTGAGCGTCAGTAGTGTGTGAGGGTGTTTGAGTGCTATGTAGTATGTGTGGTGCATGTTGTCAGGTGCAGAACATAACAAAAGTAGATGCAGCAGGATGGAGATCTCAGGGATGAGTGAGAGACCGAGACAGCCCACGGCAGGGGGTTTATAACAGCAAGCCAATCAGGGAGCCCTGCACAGGAACCTCCAGCCGGCTAACAATCAGCAACCTGCAAGACACACCCACACAGCATACACACCATACACAGACAGGACACAGACAGGACACAGACAGGACACAGACATGGGCTGGGGACGTAACAACTTTAGATTATCAAATGACTGAAACGGAGCGACTAACTAAAACCCTACAATCAAGGAAGGCCAGTGGTCCCGATGGCATTTTAAATGAAATGCTGAAATTGCCATATTGAAATTATCCAACCTTGTCCTCAACATTGGGCATTTCCCTGACATCTGGAGCAAAGGAATAATAACTCCTTTAAAAATGGAAATAAATTTGACCCAAGCAATTACAGAGGCATATGTGTCAGCAGCAACCTGGGGAAGGTATTCTGCAGCATCACAAACAAGAGTCAAACACCGAACTACTACCACATCTACACCTTCACACTCTCATTCACAAACATGTTCAAACAAGATCAACATGTTCTCTTGTTTTGTAGATTTCAAAAAAGCATTCGACTCAATCTGGCACAGTGGTCTGTTCCTAAAATTAATTGAAAAAGGTATAGGGGGAAAATCTATGACATAATTAAAACAATGTACAGAAATAATGAATGTGCTGTGAAGATCAACAACATGGAAACAGATTTCTTCCTCCAGAGTCGAGGGGTGAAACAGGGCTGCAGTCTCAGCCCCACCCTGTTTAACATTTATATTGATGAATTGGCAAAATCACTTGAACAATCGGATATCCCTGACCTCACTCTCTCTGACACTGATATTAAATGCCTACTTTTTGCAGATGATCTAATATTGTTAGCTCCATCTAAAGAGGCATCACAACAGCAACTAGATCATCTGCAGAACTTCTGTGAGACCTGGGCCCTGACACTTAATCTAGAAAAGACGAGAATTATGGTCCAGAAACGACCCAGATGTCAGGGAAACCCAAACAAGTTCTTACTGGGCTCCGCTGACATTGAACACACACACAACTACACATATTTAGGACTCAAAATTAGCTCTACAGGAAATTTTAATCTGGCCGTTAATGATCTGAGAGACAAGTGAAGAAGAGCTTTTTACGCCTTAAAAAAGTTTTCAATCATTGATATACCCTCAAAATATTCCACTCTATAATTGAACCTATTTCACTGTGTGGTAGTGAAGTATGGGGCCCTCTTATAAATCAAGACTTTGAAAAATGGGACAAACACCCAATTGAAAGCCTGCATACTGAGATTTGTAAGAGCATTCTCAGAGTCCAGAGGAACACCCCCAACAATGGATGTCGAGCTGAATTAGATTCAGATCCAAAAAAGAGCCATCAAATTGTACCAACACCTCAGAGCCAGCGAGCCCAGCTCCTACCACTACAAAGCCCTGCAATGCCAAGAGGAGAGCAAAGACAGGAGTCCCCTCAGCCAGCTGGTCCACYGGCTCAGCTCCAACAGCACAGGGCACCAAGACCGTCCTCACACATCGGGCCCCACCAAATTATAACTAAAGAAAAAGACAGTTGCATCAACTATTGGACATCTGCAACCAAAACCCAAAGCAAACTCCAATGCTATTTGTCCCTAAACAGACAATACTCCAGATTAGCTGAGCTCTGTCACCGACCCCAGCCTGAGGAAAACGTTGACTATGTCCAGACTCAGCAACCACAGCCTGAGAGACAGGCCGACACAGACAGACGTGTCTGCTCTGTCCACACAGACAGGTAGAGACAGAGCAGCACTTCCTGCTGCACTGTGACGCAGACATCAGAACGCAGCTCTACATGAACTTTACACACACGACCCCAAACAAACTCTCAGACCAAGAAAAACTTCATCATCTACTGGGAGAGAAAAGAGCCACTGCTGCAGAAGCTGTAAAATATGTGAGTGTCACAGCAGAAGAGAGAAGCTGCACAACAAGCTGCTCACTGATGAACAGACTGATCCTCAGATGCTGTTCTGTGATAATCACCTCTGTACGATACACACCTTTTTTAAATTGATGTATAACGCTTTGGCAATATTGGAATGCACAGTCATGCCAATAAAGTTTATTGAATTGAATTGAGAGAGAGACAGAGAGAGACAGACAGAGACAAGAGACAGAGAGATATACAGAGAGAGAGAGGGAGAGAGAGAGAAAGGCAGAGACAGAGAGAGAGAGGGAGAGAGAGAGAAAGGCAGAGACAGAGAGAGAGAGGGAGAGAGAGAGAAAGGCAGAGACAAGAGACAGAGAGATCTACAGAGAGAGAGAGATATACAGAGAGAGAGACAGATATTTCTTCTACAGTTCCTGCAGCTCCTCTCGTACACCAGTGTTTTGTTGTCTCTCTGCAGCAGCAGCTGCCACATGTACGTCTTTAATGAGACGTTGTGTTATTAAAGTTAACATGAGCTGATCCAACAATAATCCAAATGATAAAAGTCTACATTTCATGTATAGAGTGTATACTGTAGGTATACTTTTTTAAAGAAGTGTCAAAATTCAATTATTAATTATCTGTATCGAAACAAACATTTATTTATTTATTATTTATGTATCATATACATAAGTGTTTATTTATATTAGTGTATCAACTATTTCTAAATTAAAGTTTTAATATTGTTAATAAACAAACCTCTCTCTCTCAATTAAATTCAATTAAATATGCTTTATTGGCATGACACTCTCTCTCTCTCTCTCTCTCTCTCTCTCTCCAGTCTTGTTCCAGTTCTCAGTGTCGTTCGACCTCCTCGGTCTTTCAGTCTAAAGCAAAGTAAGAACACGGATCAACACATTCCTCATTATGTTATTGTTGTCTAACTATTTATATATCAGATATATGTATTGATCACTCTGATGATGTAATGATCAGATTGATGATGTAATGATCAGATTGATGATGTAATGATCATGTTGATGTTGTATTGATGATATTGATGATGTATTGATCAGATTGGTGATTGACGATGGGACAGGTGAGGCTCACATCTGGTTCTCAGGAGCTCTGGTTCGCCCTCTGCTGGGATTGGATGATTCTCAGTGGGAGGGGCTTCAGAGGGCTCTCAGGGTCAAAGGTCACATCAGAGTGTACCCGCGAGCACGGAGCGTGGTCAGTATCACTTCCTGTATGTAGCAGCTGGAGGTAGATCAGTGCTGTGGTCAGACACACCTGTACCTGTCTGTCTCTCAGGTGTGTGACGATGACGACCCTCTCCTCCACTTCCTGTCGGCCGTGTGCAGCAGCGATGTGTGTCGGCCGCTCTCTGTCACCTGCAGGAAACACAACAGCCAGAGACCAGAGGGTAACGCACTCACACAAACACACACTGAAGCTCTGTCCTTAAAAAATATATATTATATAATTAACTCTATTGGACACTGAAGCCGTGACCGAGCCAGAGTTCAGCCAGAGTTCAGCCAGAGTTCAGCCAGAGTTCAGCCGGAGACAGTTGATGCTGATGTGTTTGTTTGTTTCAGAGACGAGGAGATTCAGTCGAGGAGACAGAGACTTCATGACCAGGATGACTCCGCCTCTCCAGCTCACCTGTCTGACTGTCACACCTGACATCACTGTACCTAATGTCATGTGACATCATGTGACCTGTACCTGACGTCATGTGATGTCACGTGACCTGTACCTGACGTCATGTGACCTGTACCTGATGTCATGTGATGTCACGTGACCTGTACCTGACGTCATGTGACCTGTACCTGATGTCATGTGATGTCACGTGACCTGTACCTGACGTNTGTACCTGATGTCATGTGATGTCACGTGACCTGTACCTGACGTCATGTGACCTGTACCTGATGTCATGTGATGTCACGTGACCTGTACCTGACGTACCAGATGTTGAAATGTGTGTTGATCATGTGATCTGAGGTCACCTGACTCCCTCACAGGAAGTGGTTTAGGGTGTTGACCCTCATGTCACCACCAGGTGGAACCGTTTCATGTGTTTCAATGATGTAAATAAAGTTTCAGTTTTATTTTACAACTTTCTGTTATTGGACATTTTCAGGAACAAACAGAAAGTTTGGATTTTAACACTTTACTTCTGTGGACGTACGCAGCAGAAAATCTCAGAATAAAAACAGAACACACGTCACAGACGTCACGGCCAATCAGAGCTGTGACGTCACAGAGGAGCTGCAGCTGGAGAACATCTGTCTGACAGCACTGAGGTGACTGATGCTGCGTTCAGGAGACTGATGGAATCCAGTCCTCCATCAGACTGCTGCTCCTGGTAACTGATGACTCAGTAGCAGCTCTTTTTCTGATTGGCTGCAGAAGCTGAACTGAAAGTAAAGAGTGGGGACATTCCAGACGCTGCGTTCAGGTGCTGCAGGAAAACTCAAAGTCTATAATATCTATTCATTTATTGGAACTGATCCAGTCCTGGTTTCACAGTCACACCTGAAGGCATCACGTGGTCAAACTGGCTCTGTGTGTGTGTGTTGCTGTACTTGTATCCTTGTGAGGACCCTTTAAAGCATTAACTTACAGGGTGAGGACATTTTGTCTGGTCCTCAGTTCTTCAAAGACTGTTAGAGGGTGAACATTTGGTTTTAGAGTTAAGATAAGTTAAGATAAGTTAAGGAACGATGTCGATGAGAGTCCTCACTAAGATACAAGTACAAACGTGTGTGAGAGAGACCCCCCCCCCCCCAACACAGTTTGTTTTAAGTCCAGAGCAGCTGCTGCCTCAGTCTACCTGGACACTGATGACATCATGTCGTCTCTGCGTTGTGATTGGCTGCAGTGAGTTAGAGCTCAGCTGTGTGTCAGTGATTGTGTCAGTGAGTGTCAGTGAGTGTCAGTGAGCTGTTGATGAACATGAACGTCCTTGTCCTCTGCTTCGTCCTCAGTGTCTCAGCTGAAGGTAAGACACACAGAGACAGACACAACAGACAGTCAGTGGATCAGATTTTATTTGTATCATTTATATTCTGATCCTCGGATCTGAACTCTCAACAAGAGTAAAAACATGTCCTGGACATTCTGGAGCTCCAGCAGCAGAACTGAGAGCAGGTCCAAGACAAACCTGGACTTTAACTAAAACTACATCATGAAGGAAGTTTGAATCTTTAACTTAGAAGGTCTGAGATGATTCTACAGGAGAAGAGCCTGATGCTGAAAGCTCTGACTCCTCCTCTAGGTAACAGTCATTTAACTAACCACCCAGAGTTAACTAACTAACCACTCAGTTAACTAACCCACCAC